ATCTTCTCTTCTGACTTACATTTTAGAAGCTTTAATCAGTGTGGGTGAAATGAAAGCTGGAAGCTTGAAGTCTAGGTCTGCTTTGAATTTGTGGCATTTATTTTATTATTGTATCTCAAGCACCTTCCTAGTGTGTGGCCCCAAATAAGTGCATCGTAAACATTTGTTGAAGGAGGAGTGGGAAAATGACGTTGCCGATTCCCACTTGGCACATATAATAGGGAAGATGAGCTCAGCAGGGGTGAAGTCATTAACCATTTCCAGTCACCTACCAGGCGGCTTCTGTGTGCAGGAGGGATGGCTAGTGAATGTCAAGGTTAGTGTAAGTTGGAAAAGTCAAGTGAGGGTTTCATCTGGCTGGCTGAAGGTGGTACAGTCCAGCCATAGGGCTGCTTCAGTGGAACATTTTGGAGTCTGGAGTCAACTGTGTTTTGTTTGTTTGTTTGTCTTTTTGTTCAGGCTGACCTTAAGCTCACTTTGTAGCCCAGACTGGTCTTGAACTGCCAATGATCTTCCTGCCTCAGCCTCCTGAGTGCTGCGTGGAGTCAACTGTTCTTAAGAGTGCCTTGTAGCCTTGTTCTTGAGTTCAGTGCAGATAGAGGTACATAATTCAAAGGGAAGCCTGTTGGATGAGTATTTGCTGAAAGGAAATGGGGCGTCTGATTTTGCTCTTCATTTGGACCTTAGGTGGTTTGTACTACCATATATTTTGTTTGCCATCCCTGTGGGTGTTAGCAACTGAGATAGCATCTTTTCTCTAGAGTTGTGGAGAGTCATGTTTCACTGTTTAGATAAGAAAAGTTCCAAACCAGTGTGGTGGCACATGCCTATAGTCCCAGCATTTGGGAGCATCGCTGTGAGTTTGAGGTCAGTCTGGGCTACAAAGTGAGTTCAAAGTTAGCCTGAGCTACGTAGTGAAACTCTATTTCAAAAAGACCCCCCCCCCCCAAAAAAAAGAACAATTCTGAGTTAGGGTTTAAAAGGAAATGGGAGGTATGTATTTTATTTCCTTTTGAACTTGGAGGTGAAGTTATTAGGATTATTCAGTCTTTATAAACCTAGTTTTAAGATAGGGTTTCACTGTCCTCATCAATCTATGTTGACCTTCTCTGCCTTCTCTCCCTTTGTTCTTGCCCCAACTGATACAGGCCTGAGTGTTCATTCCAGCATGTCGGAGGGGGAGTCCCAGACAGTACTTAGCAGTGGCTCAGACCCAAAGGTAGAATCCTCATCTTCAGCTCCTGGCCTGACATCTGTGTCACCTCCCGTGACCTCTACAACCTCAGCTGCTTCCCCAGAGGAAGAAGAAGAAGAGAGTGAAGATGAATCCGAGATCTTGGAAGAGTCCCCCTGTGGGCGCTGGCAGAAGAGGCGAGAAGAGGTAAAGGGATAGAGGTGCCCCTCCTGGAGGAGTAAATCCTAAGAAGTGGCGGGTGAGAGTAGTTCTCAAAGGAGAGCCCAGACTTCAGTGCCACGGTGGATAGGGGATGATGAACATATGGGCTATTCAAATGGGAGAGTTGCCCTTTGAATTCCATTTGAATTACTTCTCAGGTGAATCAGCGGAATGTACCTGGTATTGACAGTGCATACCTGGCCATGGACACAGAGGAGGGTGTGGAGGTTGTGTGGAATGAGGTACAGTTCTCTGAGCGCAAGAACTACAAGCTGCAGGAGGTAGGTGTTGGCGAAATGATACACCCAGGCGGGCATTAGAACACTGATACTAAAGGGGAATTGGTGTTTGACAGCTGACTGTGAAGTTAGATCATCTTTGGGGAGGGGTAGGAGATGGTTTTTCAGGATTGGTTACAGTGATTTGTGAACTCTTACCGTACTTCCTTGCTCCAGGAAAAGGTCCGTGCTGTGTTTGATAATCTGATTCAGTTGGAACATCTCAACATCGTTAAATTTCACAAGTATTGGGCTGATGTTAAAGAGAACAAGGCCAGGGTAAGAATTGTTTTCTGGGGCTGGGGATTTAGCTCAGCGGCATAAGCACCTGCCTTGCAAGCAGGCGGTCATGAATTTGATCCCCAGTACCGATTTAAAAAAAAAAAAAGAATTGTTTTCTGTTTTTATTCTGAGGTATACCCAGAGATTTAAAGTGGGTATTTTTGAAACAGGACTGGGATTAGGCACTCTGGTGGTGGAAGCAGGGCTTTCTGTGCTATCTTTTCCTTTCATACACACCCATGTCTGGTTACAGATGGGGCAGAAATGAATTTCTGCTTCCTTCCTCCTCTTAGGGCTCCTTCCTCTTATTGTTGAGTAATTTTCATTGTATTGCTAAGTCTAAGGAAGTGATACTAAAAACAAAAGGAGAGAAAGTTGAAGAAAACTTACAAATTTAGTATATTTCTAGTGTAAAGGTCCCAGGTGATAAACAGTTTCTATCGTAAAGCCTTACAGTAAGTGCTTTGCCTCTCCAGGTCATTTTTATCACAGAATACATGTCATCTGGGAGTCTTAAGCAATTTCTGAAGAAGACCAAAAAGAACCACAAGACTATGAATGAAAAGGTATGAAAAGAGGGTGGCAGACCAGATTTTAGGGTGGCCTGGGGAGGGCCATGGGAGGGCGAGGAGATTAATGCCGCCTTTTGACTCAAACCCTGTTCCAGGCTTGGAAGCGCTGGTGCACACAAATCCTCTCTGCCCTAAGGTGAGTAGCACCTGGTTAGTTTCTTTCCCGTATCTCCTCTGAATGGATTTCAGGGCACTACTCTATTTTCTGTTCTTCCTCTCCCTACTTGCTTTGAGTCACATACTGTCAAGATTAGGCCCCTATGGGTCTTGTACAGGGTTCCTCCTAATTCCCTAACCACAACACGATCCTGCCTCTTTCTCCTAGTGGTTATCCAGCTATTTTAAGTCATCAGGCATAATGGAGATTCAGAGTATGGGGATTACCATTATGGTGACCAGCAGGAGTCCTGGCCCTTGCTCTTCTTAACCCTTGAGTTCCCCCTGCCCTTAATTTCCCAGTGGCCCCTCTAACAGCCCAGTGCCCCCACAGCTACCTGCACTCCTGTGACCCCCCCATCATCCATGGGAACCTGACCTGTGACACCATCTTCATCCAGCACAACGGACTCATCAAGATTGGCTCTGGTGAGGGGAGGGAGAGGTTCTGGGCAGGGGAGCCTCGGGACTTTGGGAACCATGGGGGTAAGATGAAAGGCATGGGGGAGAGTGCAGCAAAATTCTGCAGTGTGGGCTGGTGATGAGAGACAGGACTTTGCTAGAGAAATTCACAGAAAGAGGCCAGTTATAGAGATGGGCTAGAGTATATAATTATATACATTTTTTTGGAGGGAAACGGGTTGATACAGATACTCATAAGAGGCTGGGAAAGGGTAAGAGACGGAAATGAGATCTGATTTGAGTTCCTGGGGTCAAACCCTACCGGAGGAGATTCCAGGCTGTCCTTGCTGTGAGTGCTTTCATTTGCTGTGTATCTGTGTGCAGTGGACAACATTTCTGTGTGCTGTGTTAGTGTGTTGTTTGTCCATTCATCTGGGGCTTGGCTGCTCCATCGCTCACAACTTTTCTCTGTTTTCCTCCCTCCCGCTTACGGGCTGCTCTGTTCCCAACAGTCTTTCATAGGATTTTTGCTAATGGTGAGAGCTCCCTCTGCCCCACTTGGGGCTCTGTTTGTGCTCCCTCTGCTCCCTCTGCGGCTGCCCAGTGCATGCAGTCGTGGGAGCAAGGCCTGTCCCCTGCCTCCCTGGCCTACTTGTGTCTGCTTAGCTTCTGCCCTGCCAGCCCTCCACGTTTGCCCCTTCATAGCCTGCTTGTTTCCTGTGGATTCTGCCTGGCTGGCCACTTGACCGCCTAGATTCATATCACCCCTCATCATCAGGCTGGTTCCTCAGGCCATACTGTGCTCCCAGATTCTCTGTGACTTGTAGTCATTGTTTATGATTGGAGTGAGTCTAAATCGAGCCTGGCCCTGGTTTCTTGTTCAGCCTTGTGGAATAAGAACACAGAACAGTGGAATAAGAACGTAGAACAGAAGTCTGAAAGGTTTTTGGTGGATTAAAATTGAAACATTCAAGGATACTGGTTCAGTTTGAGGGTATTTTTTGGGGGGATACTGGGGCTTGAACTCAGGGCCTTGTGCATGGTAGGTAAGCACTTTACCCCTGAGCTACACCTCCAGCCCACTTCCGAGCTATTTCTGAGTTTTGGTCAGCAGTGGTGAATTGGAAGGAGGCTAGCTCCTTGGCTGTATGCTAATGATTCTTTATGCTTTCTTTAATGGAAGATCCTGAGGTCTCCAGTTGTCCTAGATTAAGAAAGGCCCTTTATTTATGTTAATTGCTCTGTGGATGAAAGAAATAAAACCAACATTTTCATGGAATCAAGGGTTAGATGTATGTGGGCGGTGGGGAAGGTAACAGGTCTGAGTGAAAGGGCTTATTAGCCCACATTGCTTCTTGAGCATCCCAGAGGCGCCATGAGTCTGCTGTGATGTGGAGCCTTTGTTGCTCCTTCTGTACGGACCTTAGGTAAGCGGCAGCACGCCTGAGGACGGAGGCAGATGCTGTCCATGTGTATGCTGCAGTTCCGAGTGGAAAGGGGGACAGGTTTGTGCCTATTGAGGATTAGAGAGGAGACCTCAGTAGGAGTTTGGCTTTCGGGGGCTTCTCTCTGGAATACGACCATGCTTTGTTGATGGTGGTCAGATTGTGGGTATCTCCCCTGCTCCCAGTGGCTCCTGACACTATCAACAATCATGTGAAGACTTGTCGAGAAGAGCAGAAGAATCTACACTTCTTTGCACCAGAGTATGGAGGTGAGGCATCTAATTTCTCTGCCCTGTCTTCATGCCCTGGTTTTGCACTTTAACCTAAGCTGTAGAGTAATACAACTCAGATTCCTGTCTTCTTTTATCATACAAAGTATGTTTCTCTTTTAAAAGGTGTATCTGCCATCCCTTGCACCCAGTCCTGTGCCTCACTAAGCCCTCTCTGTTTTCTCTAGAAGTCACTAATGTGACAACAGCAGTGGACATTTATTCTTTTGGCATGTGTGCACTAGAGGTGAGAACAGAAGGAGGGGGGATACCAGAAGGCAAAAGTGGGGAAGTAGAAATGGAGGGAGAACAGGAACCTGCTGGCCGTGGGGAGTCACTGTGGGAGCACCAGAGTTCTTAGTGCCCTGATTTTCCTCTGGGCTCCTCTTCACTGCAGATGGCAGTGCTGGAGATTCAGGGCAATGGGGAGTCCTCGTATGTGCCACAGGAAGCCATCAGCAGTGCCATCCAGCTTCTAGAAGACTCATTACAGAGGGTAAGGGTCTTCAAGATTGCTCCTTCTTTAACTGACTGTCAGCTTCAGATTTTTCATCACTGGGGATCTTCTCTCTTCTAAGAGCAAGAGAACATAAAGCAGAAAAGACTAAGTTGCAGGCTGGGTGTAGTGGCCTACGCCTACACTGATTATCTCAGCTGCTCAGGATGTTGAAGCAGGACAATCCCAAGTTGGAGGCTGGCTGTGCAGTTTAGGAGATGCTGTCTCAAAATGAAAAATAAATAGAGCTGGAGATGTGGTTCAGTGGTAGAGTGCTATGTGTGAGCAATTTTTAGTGCCATCAGAAGAAATTAAAAAATACACATATATAGATAGATGTATGTATATCTATATAGGTATAGACAGAAGAAAAGTAGGCAGTGAATGGGCTAATATCTATATAGGTATAGTTGTATATATATATACAAAATTTTCCTTAGAGGTGCTTAAGGGGATGCTACATTGGGGATTAAGATGGGGTTAAAGTTTGTTTGTTAATTGAAGCGGTTTACACAGAGGTAAATTAATTTAATGGTTACTGCAGGCAGTAACCATTCCTTCCTGTGGGCTCTTACATAACCATTTTGATGTCCTAAATCAACGATGGTGAACGCTAGCACTTTCAGTACTAACAGCCTGCTGCAGAACATGTACCATAGGTTTGCCACCACTATCAAATCAATCACATCACATCAGTCACTTGGGATAATTATACAGTTAAGGAAAGTTCCCTGAAATAGTGAGCTAAGATTTAAAGAGTCTTAAGGAGCATTATTAATAGGTTAACCTTAGTTAAGGAGTCTTACAGGAAGGCCAAATATGAATAGTTTGTAGCTCATTAGGCACAATGGGCAGCAGGACAGAGGAGGAGGCCTAGGGGAGTCTTGAGGACTGGAATACGCTTCTGGTTCACACATGAAGAAGGAATATGTTCTGCAGGCGAAGAATTAGGAACGTGAGCTTGCTGGCCTTGCAGATAGGAAGTAAGTGGGTTCGTTGTCTTGGGACCTGCAAAAGGTAGAAAAGGAAGCGGAATGGCTAGAGAAGGCCAGTGACTTCAGTGGTTATTGTGGACAAAAGGAATTAATGATCATAGGCTTAAAAAAGCAAATATAGGGGCCAAGGATTTAACTTAGTTGGCTCAAGTGCTTACCTAAGTGTGAGGTCATGAGTTCAGTCCCTGGTACACAAAACAAAAAGCAAATACCCAATGGATTAATTTTGGGAAGGGAGAAATTAAACTTGATGAAAACTGCAGAAGAAAAGTAGGCAGTGAATGGGCTAATGAGAGGAAAAACTATGAACATTAATGAAAGAAAAAAGCAAGGTTGTGATTGAAAAGCAGAAACATAATAAAAACCAGAAAGTCATACCTATATTTTCAAAGCCCTTTCAGGTACATTTCTCAGTATGTTTTCCCAACAGTCCTACACACCTAAGTCCTGTCCTTACACAAGCCTGGTGCCCAGTGTAAGGTGAGCACAGGAGTACGTATGAGATGCCTGTTCCCGTTCCTGTTCTAGGAGTTCATTCAGAAGTGCCTGCAACCTGAGCCTGCTCGAAGACCAACAGCCAGAGAACTTCTGTTCCACCCAGCACTGTTTGAAGTGCCCTCACTTAAACTCCTTGCTGCCCACTGTATTGTGGGACACCAACGTGAGTCCCCTTGACACTAGTAGGAATTTTCTTGCAACCTAGAGTCTTGTAACTCACTTTTCTCTTCTACTTTCAAAAGGATTCTTAGCCCTGTGCCTCTGTGCCTTATGTGACCCTGTCCTAACCCTCCCTAACATCCTACTCCATCATGCTCTACAGACATGATCCCAGAGAATGCTCTGGAGGAGATCACCAAAAACATGGATACCAGCGCTGTACTGGCTGAAATCCCTGCCGGACCAGGAAGAGAACCAGTTCAGACTTTGTGAGTACAATATCCCCCTAAGGCTCTCTGAGCTGCCCATTATCTAGGAAAGGTGGAGTCTGCTATTTTGTTATTTTCTTCCTTCCATCATCTTTCATTTCCTCTCCAGGTACTCCCAGTCACCAGCTCTGGAATTAGACAAATTCCTTGAAGACGTGAGGTGAGAGAAGCCTGGGAGGGCAGGTGGGCTTGAAGAAGGAGGAGCCAGTGTGTGAAGGCGTTCACACAGCCCATGTGCCCTTTTACCTCCAGGAATGGGATCTACCCTCTGACAGCCTTTGGCCTGCCTCGGCCCCAGCAGCCACAGCAGGAGGAGGTGACATCACCTGTGGTGCCTCCCTCTGTGAAGACTCCAACACCTGAGCCAGCAGAGGTGGAAACCCGCAAGGTGGGGGCTGGGTGTGAATGTGTCCATGTCATGAGAGTTAGGACATATTGAATAAGGCTTTGTCCTTTGGAAAAAAGAGTGCACTTCTGTCCCCTTCCTGCCAAATCCCGTGGGTTGCACAGCCTTCCTTGTGTGGGGATCTTCACGGTGGTGACCACTCTGCTGACCTGTCCCGCCCTGTCCTGCCCTGCCCCGCCCTAGGTGGTGCTGATGCAGTGCAACATTGAGTCAGTAGAGGAAGGAGTTAAACACCACGTACGTAAGGTTCAGTGCCAGGCTGCACAGTGCTGGGTGGCCAGAGGGTGGGGAAGAGGAGCCCTAGTCTGACTGTCCTCTTTTCTAGCTGACACTTCTGCTGAAGCTGGAGGACAAGCTGAACCGGCATCTGAGCTGTGACCTGATGCCAAGTGAGTCTGTCCTGTCCCTCAGGGTGGCGGGCCATTAGGGGCCCTCTGGGGGTGACAAGCAGTAGCACATTTGACTGCCCCACCCTGAGATTGGGGGTTGGGCAGGGTGCTTCCAGGGGCTCCTGTCCTGTCTCGGGTCTTGCACTCGCTCACCTTGCTTCTCTCTGTCAGATGAGAACATCCCTGAGCTGGCAGCAGAGCTGGTACAGCTGGGCTTCATTAGTGAGGTGAGCTTCCTGCCTTCCTCTGCCCGGTGCCCTCCCCCCTGCTCGCCCAGCTCCGGCCTCACTGAGCTGCTTCCCCCACAGGCTGACCAGAGCCGGCTCACTTCCCTGCTGGAGGAGACCCTGAACAAGTTCAATTTTGCCAGGAACAGTACCCTCGGCTCGGCCGCTGTCACTGTCTCCTCCTAGAGCTCCTCGGGCCAGGCCCCAATCTGAGCTGTGGCTGTCCCTGGATTGCTGCAGCCCTCCTGCCCTCCCCCCAGTCAGTATTACCCTCCGAAGCCCCTGCTCTCTGTTCCGGAGGGCTGGGGCTCCCTGTTCTGAGCATCGCCCTTCCCTTCCCCTCTCTTCCTCCCCTCTGCACTTTGTTTACTTGTTTTGCACAGACGTGGGCCTGGGCCTTCTCAGCAGCCGCCTTCTAGCTGGGGGGCCAGTAGCTGACCTGCCAGCTCCTGCCCAGCCTGTGTGGACAGGAGGCCCGTGGGCATCGGGGAGCTGAGTCCTACAATCCCGTTGGGGCGGGCGGACGGGCGGACGGGCGGGAGAGAGGTGGTGCTGCAGTGGTGGCCCTGGGGGGGCCATTCGATTCGCCTCAGTTGCTGCTGTAATAAAGTCTACTTTTTGCTAAAAGTGTCCTTTTGTCTGTGTATGTGTGTGCGTGTGCCGTACCTGTGCGCGCGCGCGCGCCGATCTGACCGCGGCTCCTTGGCCGGCCCAGGTGGGGCTGCCCTGCGGCGGCCCTGGGCGGGGCCTCAGGTGAGGGGCGGGGCCGGCCCAGGTAGAGCTGCCCTGCGGCGGCGCCGACCGGCTCCCGGAATGGGGTGCTACCGCCTCTGCGTGTTCGGTAACTTCCGCCCCGCTGCTTGCTCTCTCCTCGGGACCCCTCAGCCGCCCTCCCGGCTGCAGCCGGCCTGCGTGGGGCCCCCCCCACCCCCGGCCTGCCGGCTCGCGCTCAGGCCCGCCCCTCCCCTCCCCCTCCTCCGCAGACGCCCTCCGGGGCCCCCGGCGGCTGATGCGCACGGGCCTCGCGCTGATCCTGGTGGGCCACGTGAACCTGCTGCTGGGGGCCGTGCTGCACGGGACTGTCCTGCGACACGTGGCCAATCCCCGCGGCGCCGTCACGCCGGAGTACGTCTCCGCCAACATCATCTCCGTGGGCTCGGGGCTGCTGGTGAGCGCGGCGGGCTAGCCGGCGGGCCGGGCACCCCTGCGGCCAGCGGGCCAAAGGCTTGATGTCTTCCGCAGAGCGTTTCGGCGGGACTGGTGGCCCTGCTGGCATCCAGGAACCTACTTCGCCCACCCTTGGTGAGAGGAGTCCGCTGGCGCGGAGGCGCTCGCCCTGAGACACCGAGGGTCTGGTCATGGGGAGGCTTGGCGGCGCCCACGCTTCTCACCTTGGTCTCTGCCCCGCCAGCACTGGGCCCTGCTGGCCCTGGCCCTGGCCAACCTGCTTGTGTCTGCCGCCTGCTCCGTGGGCCTCCTCCTAGCCGTGTCACTCACTGTGGCCAACGGTGGCCGCCGTCTCATCGCTGACTGCCATCCAGGACTGCTGGATCCTTCCATACCACTGGACCAGGGGCCCGGACACCCCGACTGCCCGTTTGACCCCACGAGAATCTTTGTAAGCCTGTTCTCTTCCTCCTTGTCCGCCCCGAGCTGCGGCCCCGCCCTTTGCCTTCCTCCTGCCCCAGTCCATCTAGACTGCCATCCTTTCCGCTTGCAGGACACAGCCTTGGCTCTGTGGATCCCTTCTCTGTTCATGTCCGTGGCAGAGACCGCCCTATCTGCTTACTGCTGCGTGGCTGCGCTCACACTGCGGGGCGTTGGGCCCTGCAAGAAGGAAGACTTTCAGGAGCAGGTAAGCAAGTGGAGGAGGAAGGCTGCATCCCGCCTTCTGGCGCTGCTGAGGAGCGGATGTATCATTCATGGCAAGTGCTCACGCCACTCTCTTCTGTAGCTGGAGGAAATGACAGAGCTTAATCCTCCTAAATGTAAATGGCAGGAAAATGTGAAGCTTCTGAATGAAGGTCATAAAGTCCGGGAATCACGGAAAACCTGGGTTTAGGACAGGTAAAGGGTTCTGAGGGTGGAGGGCTGGATTAGGGTGGGACAGGGAAGCATTCCTAGGCCAGTGGCTGCTTCCTCTGTGTGTGTGTGTGCCCACGTGTGTATATGTGTGTGAGTGTGCGTGCGCACGCACACACGGGAGATGGAGATTAAACCCAGAGCTTTATGCTGTGCTACACCCACCCCTTTTTTGACACAGGGTTTGGCTAAGTTCCCAGGTTGCCTAGGCTGGACTCCCAATTTGTGATCCTCCAGCCTCAGCCTTCAACTACTGGGATTACAGACATGCAGCATCGCCTGGTGCACAGCATGGTGCTCTGCTGCTGGCCCTCACTCAGCAAGGGCTGTTCTTTGGCTCAGTCCACAAGTGTTTTTCCACTAAGCCAAGGGCACTGATTCCAGATGACATAAATAATTGTAATAAAGAATTTCTTTTCTTTTACTCAGTCACAGTTCTTAGGGGGGGAAAGGGTACCGTGCTGGTGTTGCAGTTGGCTGTGATCAGGGAACACAGAGGTTTCCGTTAGTTAACATAACTTCACTGAAGGAGAGGCCTCAGCTCTTCCTCCACTCTCCCAGTCACTGGAAGGAAAAGCTGGTGCTGGGGAGACCCCCGCACCACTGACTGATGAACTTCAGCACGTCCTGGCACACGGGGCTGTGGGAGGTCTATGAGCGGAGGGGAAAACACAGGAGCCTCTTAGAGCTGCGCAGAGGACATCAGTCCACCACAGGCTCTGCACCTGTCCTCGGGCCGACCCCAGCCACCCTTCCGGGACCCTGGCCCAGTGCTGCCCCTGACCTGAGCCTTCAGGTTTCCCTCTAACCTTGATGGCCATAAGGAACTTATTCCAGTTGTCCTTGTCAGCAGCCTTTCCTGGTCGCTTAAATTCAATTTTGTTCCTCAGAATGGGGTAACCTGAAGGAAAGACAAAAGATGAAGGGCTTGAGACAGACCCAGGGCGTACCATGAAAGAAGAGCAACCTAGAGTAGAGAGCGAGATGTCCCTGCCTTGCGTACCCTTTACTACACAGGGAAGAAAGTTTCCTGAGTCTGCCGTGTTCCCTCCAGTCCTGCCAGCGACAGGATGTGGGGTGCTACGGGGTTTCCCACCTGTAATGAGGCAGGGCAGCGCCCGAACTCCAGTGCTGGCTGCCACCAGGGAAGCCTCATAGGTGCCGCGCTCATCCTGCGGCAGGACCTGCTCCAGCCGCTGGTCCATGGAGACGGTTAGCACCCAGTCTCGAACCTCTTCTCTCTGGGCCTCCTGGAGAGGGTAGAGGAAGCAGTGGCTTCACACAGGGCAGGATCAGTGGGGCTGGGGGCTTGCTAAGCCCTCGTCCTGTACCCTCGCTTTTGGCAGGATTTGCTTTGCACAGTCACTGCCTCACTTTTCACTGAGGATTAGTGAGGACCTCACAAAGACAGTAGCTCAGGGCTCTCTTCCCAAAGCACTCACGGCGAGGCCTGGCAGTCACCCTCTCACACTTACTGGCACATGCTGCTTGGCTGGGAGCGACACCTCGAAGGGAATGTCTGTGTCCTGAAAATCCGAGTGGTCCAGGGCATCCAGTGTACCCTCTTCAATGGCCTGCAGCAGAGTGGGACAGTCACAACCCGTGACTGGCGAAACATAGGCTCTGGCACCATCTCCCTACTCACATCAGTCAGATCCAAAAAGCGGTTGAGGAAGATGAAGGCCATGTTCTCCCAGCCGACAGCCTGCAGCAGAGAAAAGTTGCAAACGTGAGTGGGCAAGCTGAGCTGGGAGCTAGTTCTCTAGGCAGCAGGGAGAAACTCCAGGCGCAGGTACAGGACAGCCCCATCTTCCCTCACACCACACCCACCCGGCTTTGCTCAGCGATAGTCTGTCTTCCAACCCGATTTCCATATCCCTTTGGCTCCACCCTTCCTGTTCGGCTCACCTTGGCAGCAGTGCCTGCTTCATAAAAGACCTTGTCTGCGGGCAGCAGCTGGGTGTGCCGCAAGAGCGAAACAGAAAGCCTGGCAGCCACGGTTTCCTGAGGGTTAAAGGCAAAGCTTTATGATACTGGTGTTACAGTCCCTGAGCTACCAGACCAACGATCCTACAATGAAAGCAGCCTCAGAAGGGGGAAACCAATAATTAATATTAAAGTATCTGGGGATGGTGGTCCATACATGTAATACTAGCACTTTGGGAGGCTGAGGCAGGAGAATGTAAGTTTGAGCCCAGTCTAAAGGACCAGGGGCTGGGCATGTAGCTCAGTGCAGAGGCCCTGGGCTCAATCCCCAGTACCACAAGGAAAGCGTTCCTTACAGAAGATGAGTAAAGAAATCATGGCATTTGAATGTTTAAACCTTATGAGGCAGGGCTGGGGATGTAGATTAGTATATGGCAGTTGGCTTGCAAGTGCAAGGCCCTGGGTTCAATCACCAGTACTGCAAAAAAGATGCATAAGTAAAAATAAACTACCCATAATAAGGTGCTGGAGCGGGGGCTGGGGATTTAGCTCAGCGGCAAAAGCACCTGCCTTGCAAGCAGGCAGTCGTGAGTTCGATCCCCAGTACCGATGAAAAGGTAAAAAAAAATATTAAAAAAAAAAAAAAGGTGCTGGAGCTGTATGGGCACAGAAACCCGGATCAGAGAAGGTGAGGTATGCTGGTGCTGGCCTATAATCCCAGCACTCCGGAGGCTGAGACAGGAAAACCCTAAATTTCAGGTTAGCCACACAGTGAGACCCTTTCTCAAAAAACAAAAACACACAGCACCTGCCTGGCAAGCACAAGTTGTAAGTTCGATCCCCAAGTGCAAAACAAACAAATAAAAACATGTCTATGGAGTATGTGAAGAAAACCCATCTCAGCAAGGGTTAAATAATGCTTGATTTAGGTGATGAAAAGTGGGGAGGTCCAAGAGCCTGAACTCAGCAACCCAGAACTTGGAATCCTTCAACCTGACGTTTGAAAACCTGTCCCTTAAGACGCAAGCCCTGCACCTCGTCACCTCCACTGCGTCTCACCAGCTGTTTGACGCTCTGGGCCGCAGATCGAGTGGCGTAGTAATGAGCAATCAGCAGCATCTTCTCGAACTCCTCATGGGCAGGAGAGTTGGCCTCACTGGACCTCACTAGGTTTTCACACTAGAAAAGGACAAGGATACAGCCTGATTCAGGGTCGGCGCAGGCCAGGGCCATGAGGACAGAGGCAGGGAAATGTGTCTGAGAGCCAAAGATTATGGACGGGGGAGAACAGGGAAGCGACAGGCAAAGGAACCCTTTCTTGGCACGCCAGCCTCCTCACCAGATTGAAGAGCACGTCCCGAAGATCCGCCCAGCTGTGATAGGCCTCGGCACTGTTGGTCCCAGGAGAGCTGACCAGGTCAGTGAAGATCCGCTTATAAATATTGAAATTCTAGAGACAGAGGGGCAGGGGGTGTGCTGAAGGGCAGAAGTGAAAGGCAGTGGATGTGGGCTCAAAGTGGGAAGAAACAGGCCGTGTGTGTGCGTGTGTGTGTGTGTGTGTGTGTGTGTGAGCATGCATGCACACAGGCAGCAGTGACAGAGAAAGTGCTGATTATTTTTAGAGAAAAGAGCATGAAAATAACTATTCTCACTAGATAGTACTCATGCATGTGAATGCAGTCGCAGTGTAGTGACTGACGGCCAGGGAGCTGTGCCCTCCCCATAGGAGAGCAGCGTGTTCCTTAGAGGAAGCTGTGAAGCCCTGGAGGGCTGCACAGGACTCTTCCTCGGAAGACAGGTCCCTGGGTATCAGGGTAGGCATTTCTTCAAGCGGTACACTCTCAGAGAAGCAGAGGGGCTGCGGGGCCGGGACTCTGGACATGAGGCTGTCTAGAGATAAAGTCCTTCAGGACAGTTCCTCAAGGGATGATTGGTTCTACAGGAGGAAGAAAGAGTTCCCTGGGGGAACACTCGCGCCAAGGAGAAGGCTGGTACCTGTGGGTTAGCAGGGGCTCCGTGTTGCACATAGAGGGCCAATGCCTGGGCATAGCCGCCCTCTCGGATCAGGTGAGTGGCATACAGAGCCACGTACTTGTGCAGAATCTTGTAGTTCTGTGGGGTGGGGAGCAAAAGCACGGGCCGGGTGGGGATCTGGATGAGCAGCCCACTGGGGGAGGGTGTTGCTTCGAGGCCATGGATTTGTTTAGGAGGCAATGGGCATGAGTGACCTCAATTTCGGAGGATGGGAGACTGAGCTCTCTGATGCTTGTTAGGGATCTCTGGGGGCTGGGACTTGGTTGAGGCAGCTCTGGAGCAAGAAGGGGAAATCCACAGAGAGTGCACAGAGGACAGGGAGTCAGGAGACAGCAGTACCTGCTTAGTGGCTGTTTCGATGCACTTGTCCCACTGGCCCTGCTCCACATACAGGTCCAAAGCAGCTACCACATCCACACCCACCAGCTAGGGATTGACGGAAAAGACAGCTCAAGGGGAGAGAGATGACCAACGGGGAAGAGAGGGAGAGAAGTGAGTACCCCTCCCTGGGGTCTGCTTTTCACCCCTCTTTTTTGTTTTGTGGTGCCAGGGATCCCACAAGTGCTGCCACCGAACCACACCCCAGCCTTCCCCTGCCTGCTGTCCACAAACTGTGAGTCTCACCGAGTCCACTTTGCCCTGGTTCTTGAGGAAATCCTTATAATGCTGGTCTACGTAGTCTTCGTACCTGTGAAGATGTACAGGGATCTCTAGCTTCACGGTTCAGGGATGCCATGTCTTTCCTGTAAGAACTTTTTCTCCGTCTTTACAGAAAGAAATAAAAGAATTTCCCAGGGAGAGGAGTCAACTTTACCGCGGGTCCAACTCCTTAGCTACACGCTTGGCCTTGTTCCACTCTTCACCCTCAATGAAAGCGTCGATCGCCTCCTTGACAAGGTCCATGTTCAGGTAGAGCTCTGCAGCCTGCTCAGTGGGACACCAACGCAGAAACCATCTTTTCCCCAATTGCCGAGTCCCCACAGGGCAAGCTCTCCCCTCTGCCTCTCCACGGCAGGGCCGCCTCACATGCTTCTCTGCTATGATGTCACCATCCTACCCAGCCCAAGTGCCATCATCTCTTTTCAGTCCCAGCCCCCTACTTACCGCACTGTGCTTTCCAATTCCAATGAGCTGGGGTCCGACAGCCCGAACTACTTCCAGACTGCGCTGGGGAGGCAGAAACTTGATGGAGAGCTCTGCTGCCTGGGTGGTGGAACAGAAGATGGAAATGAACAGGAATGACAAATAAATCTAGAGTTCCTCAGCCTGACCTATTTGATACATTTTTTCCTCCAGATGGCAATTTTCTCTTTGGGCTCTCCCTCACCTTCCTGGGCAAAGCCCAGCTCATGGCTGACTGGATCGTTTTGCTGACCAGCAGTACACAGATTTGTTCAGCTCAGCTCAGTGTAACTTTTCAGACACTGCTGTCTGAGGTCACTGCCTTTGATCATGCCACTCATGACAAACTGGTTTCTCAAGTTCTTTGTCACAAACAGAATCTTGGTCGCACAGTATAGAGAAAAAATTTCTGAAACCAGGAGTCCAGGGCATTCTGCAATCATTTGTGTTTAAGTTTTTATGAGCCTCAGTTTCTTTATGCATATGCACTCAATTTTGCAGATAGCACAACAAAAACGAATGGCAAATATCTCAGTAAGGTTAAATTTAATTATGTATGTTAATTAAGTATGTTAAAATGCTATTTTAGATGTAGTGGGTTAAATAAAATGATTTTCATCTGTTTTTGTTTTTTTTCTTTTTTTGTCTTTTTCCTTTTTTATCAGTACCAGGGATCGAACTCATGACTGCCTGCTTGCAAGGCAGGCGCTTATGCCGTTGAGCTAAATCCCCAGACCCTTTCATCTGTTTCTCTGTACTGTTTTTTTAACATGGCTACTAGAAAATTTAAATTATACATGTGGCACACATTGGTGGCAAGCACTGTATCTTAGTGGACAGTGCTGGTCTAGGTGATTTTTTTTTTTCTTTTTGAGACAGGGTTTCACTGTGCAGTTCAGGCTGACTTTGTGCCCACTTTGTAGCCCACACCAAACTCGTAGCAATGCTTCTGCCTCAGTTTCCCAAGTGCTGGGATTATAGGCACGCACCACCATTCCTGGCTTTAGGTCTAGGTGATTTTGCTGTCATTCTGCAAACCCACACATTCTGTAACATCACTGTTTCCACTGTGATGCTGACACCCTCACTGGATTTCAATTTCCATGATCCATTTTAGCTATAGTCTATGCTAATTTCCCTGTTCTTTCCTGTGCCTGTCTGTGCTCCCCTTTCTTGGCTTGCCAAATCCTTCAAAGCTTAAAGCATGCTTCTCCCAGTCCTCTCACTAATCTGAAGAAGGTATAGTCTCACGTGGACTGCAGTACACAGTGGCCCAGAGTAAAACACATCAGATGCTTACTACATACTTACTGATCAAAATCTGCTAGAATCTCATGACAAATCAGGCTCTATTTCTGCTTTGTTTGTCCCAGCTGCTAGGGGCTAGTCAGTGATGATCTCTGAGGCTAAGGCACATCTTGCAGGGCTGTTATCACATGGACACTTACTTTAGAGGGCTAGTTGTGTCCCTTCTCATGACCTTCAATATCATACTTCACTGTATCTGAGGTGCAGCATTTAAACACACAAGTACAGCAATCGCAAAGGCATTAAAGTGTGAATATGTATATATGAAGGTCAACCTGACTGGGATGCATGGTATTCCGAGAGTTGGTCACACATCCTTTCTGGGACTGTTTCTGGGTGAGGCTAACATTTAAACAGTAAAGCAGTTTGCCTTCATTAATGTGAATGGACTTCATCTAATCAGCTGAGGGCCCAAATAAAACAAAAAGGCTAGCCCTTTCTGAAGACAGAGACTTTTTCCTTCCTGAATGCCTTTGAGCTAGGACACTGTTTCCCTGTCACAGACGCTTCCTGGGTCTAAAGCTTGCTGGCCTCCAAACAGGAACTACCAATCCCCACTTCTGGGGTGCAGATTGTGAGACTTACCCCCCTCCATAACGGTGGGAGCCAATTTCTTATCTCACACTTGCCTGCACACATTCTATAGACACAGTCCCCACTGGTTCCATTTTTTCTGGCTAACACAATTTGTCTTAGAATTGGCCTGGCTTAATCTGCTGAGGTTTCAGGTGGGTGGAGGAAGAGTCCACGCTTCCGTTACGGCCCCCAGCTGGCCGTGCTTGCGGAGTTGCCCTTCAAGCCCTCGTCTGAGTTCTTCCTCCTTCCTCACAGCCTTCCTAACCCACCCATCCCGTAGCAGTTCACACTGCTTTGAATTAAATCTACACTTTAGTCTTTCCTCAGACACAGTATTCATCAATCAGACCATGTTAGCCTAACTTCCCCTAAATTCTGGCTGTCTTATGTCCCCTTTGTTGACCACATAGATTCTGCCTCTGGCATAGAGCAAGACCTCCACACAGATGCCTATTACCTAACTGAAAGCCAAGACACAGGAGGCAAGCTCAGCATGCACCATGAAGACCGGTGCGCTCACCTTCATCCAGCACTTCTCCACCAGGGTGCTGCTCCCACAGTCCCGCACTTTGAGGTAGCAGTCGACTGCGCGGCCGTACTCCCCTGCCTGCTCCCACTGCCGGGCTTGTTCCACGAGTCCCTCCACGCCTCTGTGGAGATGAGCGCCCTCGTGACCAGGAACAGAGAGGCGGTGTGGTCACCTGCACCCCTGGGTGGCACACTCCCTGCCCTGCCAATGCTGCCAGGACCCTGGATTCATACCTGCCTCCCTTCTTGGTGGCTTCCCGCTCATATTCTTCCTGCAGGGCTTCCAGCTGGCCAGGCACGTAGTCCTTGCAGATCCGCAGAGCATCACTCCATAGTCCAGCCTCCTGCTCAGGTTGCCAGTGTCAGGAGGCCAAGGAGGGGTGGAGCCCTCCCAGTGCCACAGAGGTTCTGCTGGCCTGCTGACTCCTGGATCCCTGGGGCTCTACTCCTTCCTCTTGCCTGGCCTTTCCCCTCCCCAAGCTACCTCAGCACCAGGGATGAGCATGGCACTGTGGGGCTTCTCATGTCCTCTCGTCCTCTCCACATGGGCTCAAATTCAGTGCTCACCTTATAGAAATTGAGGGCCATTCCTGGTCTCTGGGCTCGAAGCAGCAGACCTTCTGCTTTCTGAAAGTCCTTCTCTTCCAAAGCTCCGCGGGCCTGTCCTATAAGCACCTCAGTGACACTGTCGGGGTCATGGGCCTCGGCCACACGCTGAGCCGCCTCCCAATCCTGGTTGTGGACAAACCTGCTCCAGAGGGGAACACATAAGAAATGCTGAGCAGAGGACTGAGGCTTCAGCTATGGAGACCGACAGGCAGGGAACGGGCAAGAGAGCCAGATTTATTGACACTAGGTTTTAATAAAGGTGAAGACAACCATGAAAGACCCCAGGCTGTGACTGGGAGGATAGGATGAGGAACTGAAGGGAAACTCACATGAGGACGGCCTCTTTGGGTTTGCCAGCTCTGATAAACTCAGCTTCAGCCTCTTCAAATTTACCCTTCATGGAGAGAAAGGAAGCCACACATGATGAGAACAAGGTTGGCATCACAGACAGCAAAAAACAGGGCTTTGTCACTGGGCAGCAGTGGGCAAAGGGTGGTACCCAAGGGTCAAATCACACCCATACCTCGTCCTCCAGGTACATAGCGTATCTGAGATGAATCTCAGGGGTTTTGTGCTTGAGGGCCAGGCGTGAGAGCTCAAAAGCAAATTCAAAGGAACTGAAAAGGGAGATTTACCTACTTACTACTTGCAGAATGCAAGAGAAACCAGGGAAAGGATTGAGGGGAGGGAAAAGGGAAGATTTAAAGATAGCAGAAGGGACGGAGGAGCAAAGGAGATGTAAGGGAAGCAGACAGGCAGGCTCTGACCGGCGCAGCCTTGTCACTGAGTCCAGAGACAGCTGGACAAAGTCATGCTTTCCCTGAAGCCAGCGGGAGGGCTTCTGTGCTCCCACACCTCCTCCCGAGCCCCACGCGTCAGCAGGAAGCTAGGTCCCCAAAGATGAGCAAGATTCCTCTGGAGACCCGAGCTTGTCCTGGCTTTGAAACATGCAAGAACTCATTTTTCATTTAACGAATTCACACTTGCACTCCCCAGCAGTAAGTTACTAGCTTAGTGCAGTTCTAGGTTTATGTGTTGTTCTCTCTCTGCACCCCAGCCTGAGCCTCCAACAGTGGGAGCTGAGCTACTAACTTATTCCTGCTGCTCCATCACATCCTTCCAAGGACCTCTCTTACCACATTTCTACATTCCTGCTTCAGGTTTTGGAAAGAGTTTTCATTCAAGGGCTCATGGAGAAGGCGTCAGGTCTCACCAGTTTTCAGCGGCATGGTCAACAGCAGCTTCTAGGAGTCCCAGCTTGTTCAGCAATCTCACGGCAGCCTCTCCTCCCAGGCTCTTCGCCCACAGATAGGCCACGTGCTTATGGGCATTAGCTCCTCCATGAGTCTTGGCCACCTGGGACGCAAAATCACCGAACAATCCTCCAGTGCAGCATCGCTCCCTTCCATCTCTGCCTGCACGGTCCTAGCTCTGATGAGGAGGATCATGTTCCTAGTCTAAATTAGCAGGAAGGGGGCTGAGTTTTGGGGCCTCTTAATTAACCAAGGCTGTCATACCTAAGGACCAAGAATGGGCTCCAGGGAATCCGCAAGCTCTTAAAGTTACAAAGTAAGGTTTGTGCATATGGGTGTGAACATATCTCTAACAAAAGACAGTAGTTTTCATTACATTTCAAAGATGGTCTGATCTGTTTAAGTTAGTCACACGAAAGTGGGAAAGGACAGCTGTAACCCAGAGTGGCCTTGCATTCCTTACCCGGTAGGCCTCTTCCCAAAGCCCACTGGACCGGTACATATTTACTGTCGCCTTCCACTCCTGGGCCTCAAGATAGTGATACTCTGCCTCCTGCAGCCGGCCTTCAGCCTCCAGCTCCTGCAGGAAGGGATCACGATGGAGACCGAGAGAAGGAGCCTGGGGGAGAAGAGTTGGGCAGGGCCAGAAGGGGGCTCACCTTGCCCAGATGGAGATGTGTGTCACTAAGCAGATCTGGGTGGTGCTTTCCTACCAGACGGATCATGTCATCATACAACTTGTGCTTTTTGAACATAGTGATGGCAAGATCAGGTTCCTCCACTGTCACATACAGCCTGGGGATGGGAGATACACCGTGGGCTTCCTACGGCTGGAGCCCTCCTGCCATGGCGTCTGGGCACCTTCAGACCCACCCCCTCTCCCAGCTGTGATGTCTCCCCTCCCTCCAGGCCTCCTCAGAGGCCACCGCTCACCTCTCAGCCTCGCGGTACTTGCCCTGCTTCTCCATTTCCTGGGCCTGAGTGATGTACAGTACCGACACATCTTCCGGTCGCATGCATTTCATTGCCAGCTGTGCAAACACATCAGATACCAATTGCCAAGGCAGGCAAGGCATCAGGGGACCTTTCTGTACAGGAATTGCAACTTAGCCAGAAATCACGGGATACTGGCTAGAAACTAGTAAGATCAGGGAATCACAAATCTACAAGGAACAAAGGGTACATGAGGCCTCGTGTTCATGGCGTGTGCTCCCATCATGTTCCCACTGAATCACTGAGCTCAGGAGCTCAGGAGTATAGTGGCAAGAACAAAGTCATCATTAACCAGAAATTTGGGAATGGTAGTTCCGATCGTCCAGCCCCCAAGCCCATCTCCCCTCCTCAGACTTAAAGGCTCGGGATGGGTGCTTTTCTTCATCTCACTCTCCCTGTGGTGAGGGGCCGGTCATCCAGGCTACATTCTGGTACTTTCTCAGCTTTCAGGGAAGTTAGTGAAAGAGGGCTGTCAGAGACCAAGGAATAAGGCACAGTTCTCCCCGCAAGGATTCCATTCATTTGCTACCTTGTGGGCTTTCTCCCAGTGGCCAGCCTGCGTGTACATGTCTATAGCATCTTTGGTCCGGTCTCCCTTAATGTAGAGCTCCTCAGCAATCTGGAGTTGATGAGAGAGAGACACAAAGGGTCAGAGCAACAAATTAAAGCAGCTTGCAGGAAGAAGGAACAGAGCCCAGCAGAGATGATGGAGAACCTGAAAAGCAACCTTAAATAACAGAGAAGAGATGGGGATTGGTGAATACACCTGCTACTGCTTATAAAAAAAGATTAGCTCGAAGGAGTATGAGGATAATACAATGGAATTTCTAAGGCCCTCACATTTCTGCAGTACAAGACAATTCTACTCTGTAGTTATGACGGAGTTATTCACGAAGAATCACTGTGGCTGACACAGGAAGACAGCCAGAGGTAACTTTACGTAGCTAGGGTAAGAGGAAGCTATGTCATGCTGGAACAAACTAGGCAAATAAACACTGTCTTCCTGTTCATGGTGGTGGTGCTGTTCGGGCCAGGGAAGCAAAGACATGCTGAGCTGGCCTCCTTCCCGTTGCGGATGCTCCCCGCACACCCTGTACTGCATTGCCTCCTGCTGAAGGGCTTTTTCCCCACCTCGTACTCCTGCAGAGACGCATAGTGCTGGGCCACTCGAGGATAGTATCTGGATGCAACGTTCCGATCCTGTAGGTCTAATATATAAATTGCCTTCTTCCACTGGCGGGCACCCAGGGCGGCCTCAATCGCTTTAATGGAGCACCTGGCAGTGTTGGGAAAGATATAAATATGGATGACGAAAGAGGAGGATGAGTGGAAGGAACTCCTCATTCACACTCTTTTACTTTACTTTTTTGCTGCGCTGGGGATCAAACTCAGGGCTCCATGTGTACGAGGCAAACGTGCTACCGTGGAGCTACAGCCTGAGCCCCTACCTGACTTTGACATCTTTTCTTTCAGATTGTGGTGTCTTCTCTTGCCCACCACCTCTCACTTCTCTCCCAAATCTCCAGTTGCACCTGTGCCACCCACCATACCTGGCTTCAATGTAGTGATTAATGGCGGCGTCGAGCTGCTTCTGCTGCACCAAGTGGTCCCCCCACGCCTCCTCCAGTCTCACCACCTCTGTGGGGAAGGCTGATCGAGCCAGCTCTACAGCTGCCAGGGAGAGAGAAGGTTCTCGGCTCAGAATTCCAGACTCAGGGTAACAGAACCGGGAAAGGAAGCATGGGAGAACAGCTGAGCAGTGGAGGGACGGAAAAGAACTAAAGCCAGCCGGCCGGAATACTGGGCCCAAAAGAGGGGCCAGGGACGGGATGTGCAACAGTGTAGAAAGGGACAGTTTGTGGGCATCAAGTACCTTTCATGAATGCGTTGCCTTTACAATAGCACTCGAGGGCCCGCTGTGGATTTCTAATCTTCTCAAAGAGGTCACCTGCCTGTTAACATGTGTATACAATGAAACTGCTACAACACAAGGAATGAAGAATCAGCTCCAAAAAGAAGGAATGCCCACAGTCGGGGAGGCCTACGCACCCCAGGATTCCGCTTAATGGGACAGGGGGACAGCGCCCTGGAGGTAAGGGTTGGGAAAAGTAAGTCAGCCCTACCCTTTCGTGGAGCTCCCCCTTGATGAGAGCCGCGGTGATGTGCTCCACCAGCTCCGTGTTGGCCAGCAGCTCCTCTCGGGTCAGCACCAGCCGAGCTGCCTTGGCAGGGAGCCCCGCTTTGAGGTACAGGCTGATGGCTGCCAGCCCATCCCCTTGGCTCTCCTGCAGTTCCCCTGCTCGCTCCTCTTGCTGTGTATCCATCAGCCACTGGTAGTAATCCCGGCGCAGCTTGTCCAGGGCTGGGTGTCCCTGGCCAGGCACAGAGGAGACTGGGAGTCAGACCCCTCCGTCCTGTCCTCTTTCCATGCTTCTCTGACCCCTCTGTAACCGTACAGCTTCTCCCAGGCCGTCTAACTCCTCATCCTCTCAGATCCCTACCCCGGTGCTATTTGGATTCCAATAGCTTCCTGACGAAAGCAGATTTCTGAAATTGGTGGATCCAGATTCTGACACTGGGAAAAGACAGCCCCTGTACCTTGGCCTCAGCCACAGCGATACATTCGTCCCAGCGGTGCAGTTCTTGGTACATGTTCATAGCCTCCTCGACAGCATTCTAGGGAAACCAGGCAGAAGACAGAAAGAGATGGGGATCAAAAATCGCCATGTCCTGGTCCCCAAGCTTGTAATGCCAGGTCATGAGGACCGAGCACCTCACCCCCCACCCCTCACCCTTTCACTGTTCCACAGATCTGTCTCTCAATGTCTGTTTCTGACTCTGTCTCTTTGGTGGTGCTGGGGCTCTAACTCAGGGCCTCAAACATGCTAAGAACATGCTCTGTTCCTGGGCCACAACTTCATCCCCCAGGTGGATTTCCATGGAAGCTAAAGGGAGTTTAAGTTCTGGGGCACAGGCCCTTCCAAGGCAATTTTTCCTACAGAAGGCTCTTCTAGTTGAATAAATTTTGTAACCCAGGACATCTAGATGGATCCCCGTGTACAAGAATCACAAAAACAAGAACCAAGAATGGTGGTGCACACCTATGACCCCACACTCAGAAAGCTGAGGCAGGAGGATTAATGTGAGTTCAAGGTCAGCCTGGGCTACACAGTGTGTTTGACGCTAACCCAAACTATACAGTGAGCCCCTGTCTCCAAAAACAAACACAAAAACCAGAAAGAAGTTATTAAAGGCCAAAGGAGGAATTTTACCTAGATAAACACTAACACAAGAAGAGGAAATTAAAGAAGGTGTCAAATCAACTCTACACCTTTCCAGAAGCTCCCCTAAACCTTTGGAAGCGAACTGACTAAGCTATTTTGTCCGCTGAGTTTGCCTCCCTTTTCTCCCTCAGAGGATCTATCTGTCCCACTTTTGCCTCTTACCTGTTCCAAGAAAATCATTTCAGCCAGTTTGTAATTCTTTTCCAGCATAGCCAGACGTGCTCGGACCTGATAGAAGTCTGTCCCTTCTCCGCCCTGCAGGGAAAAACAAGGCTTTAGTCAGTGTGGCTGACATAGGAAGGCCAGAAGCTCAGGACAGCTAACAGACTGGAAAAGCTAAAGGCCTTCCAGGGGTTTAGAAGCCTGAGCTTTCATAAACAATTCCAAAACGGTCCAACTTGAAGGCAGAGGAGGGGAGGGCAGGATAGAAGAAACTAGGGATGCTTGGAAAGTTAGAATTCATGGGGCTGAATACTAAAAGAGAAAGAATTAAAATGTTATGCACACATTCCAACTCACCGTGATGAATGGAAATGCTGTGTACTACAAATGTGTACTAATACAGATATTTTTACCCTTTAAAAAATACTAAGAAAAATCTCAGCACCTGAGAGGCTGTGATCCAAGGACTACTGAGAGTTCAAGGCCAGCCTATATAGTGAGTCCCTGTCTCACAACACAAAAAACAAAAACCAAGAAACACCTCAGCTTTGGAGACTGAATGAATCAAGATGATACTTGCATATTCCCAGGACACATGATCTGCAATCTCATTGGTCTCATGCAGGAATCGAGCTTTTGCCACATGGCCCAAAGCAGAAAAGCACCTACAGCATGGAGGCAAAGGTATCAAAGGTAACATTATTACAGGCACATCATTCATTAGGTCACTGATTCAGCAAACATACACTGTGCACCCGTTAGACGCCAGGCACTGTTCTCATCACTGAAGGCCCAATAGAGAATAAAGCCGATGCAGGGCTTGCTCTCAGGGAACGTCTATTCCAGTGGAGAAAAATTAATAGTAAACAAATTAATGAAGAGAGCTTGGGAGAACCAAAAGTAAACCACATCGGGGTGATACTGTCATCAGTAACTGAAGGGTCCACTTAAGGTACAGGTAGGGACCGCCTCTTTGAGGATCCAATGTTTGAGTTGAGGCCTGATTGCAACACAGAAATAGTGGTGAGAAGATACAGAAAAGCCATTCGTGGAGAGGCTAACGGCCCACAGCAAGAATAAGAAAGAGCCACGAGAAGACCCGTGTGGCAGGTGGGCAACCGGTATAGGAAGAGGCAGAGGACACAGGTCACACCAAGAGTCTGCATTTTTTTTTTTAAGTAACAGACCTGAGCATCAACATGATACAATCTATGTTCTCAAAACATGATCTGCTGTGGAATGCACTGGAGAAGTACTCGACTGGTAGCACAGCTGGGGATGTAGTCGGTGGCAGAGCATTTGCCGACCATGTGCAAGCTATGGGTTCCATGCCCAGCACCGTAAAAACACACAGGCAAGACTGGTCACAGTGAGGTTAATTACGAGGCACCACAGTGCAGCTGGGGGAGGCATGATCCACATGAACAGGGACAGGCGAGGTTGGAGGGATGAGATGGGGGGATACGCTTGGAAGACCGAGTCCCGGGGACTTGCTGGCAGTCTGTGTGAGGGGAATGGGGAAGAGCTCAAGGACAGGTCCTAGTCACACAGCAGCAGCAGCAGCACCTACTTAGCACTTAAAAAATCACACGCTCTTTGCCTGGATTCTCTAAGTTGTTCTTCACTCCCATTCTTAACCGTTCTATGAGGTAAATACCATTACGATCAGCATTGCACGTGGAAAAATCGAAGCCCCGGTTTGGAAAGGGCTCTAACCTCTCTAAGGTTATCCAAGTGTGTGAGGGGAACTAAGGTTCCAACTCAAGGGGTTTGGAGTCCTAACTTTGCCCTGTAAACTCTACGCTTCCACCACACCCAGAATAGACTGGTTGGACAGAAGTTAAAACCTCTTAATCCAGGGGCTGGAGATTTAGCTCAGCAGCATAAGCGCCTGCCTTGCAAGCAGGCAGTTGTGAGTTCGATCCCCAGTACCGATAAAAAGGAAAAGGACAAAAAAAAAAAAAAAAAACAACCTCTTAATGAAGAGGCACCTAGCTGCAAGAAGGGAAAGAAAAATAAGAAGACACTCGTGGTCTGGGGTGGGAGGCTGTGGGGTAAACACTCCAGCAGGGGCTCTCACCCTTGCTGCAGTGGAAGGGAAACAGCGGTAAAACCCAGGGCAGGAGCAGCCCACATGTGAAACCGTCCTGGGGCCGGCCCTGCCACTGCCGGGCACCTAAGCTCTGCACATCTGCCTCACCTCTCGGCGATGTGGAGCTGCCTTGCCTCCAGTGCCAGTTTACTCAAGGTTTTCCACATTGCTTCTGTTTCGGGGGTCATCTCTAGGGTCTCCAAGAAAGCTGTTGCTCTGGAGAGGGAAGAAAGCACAACACAGTATGAGGGCAGGAGCCAGAAGACACAGACGAGTCTGTGCTTGGGCGGGCAGGGGATGGGAGCGGCTGCTCAGTGATCTGCCCGCTTAGTTTAGTCTCCTCTCTGGAGCACGAGGCCCTGATTAGATATGGTCGTCCTACAGCCGTTCCAGCCACCCCCCTCAGACCCAGCCTCTCCCCCACCCCCCACTGGTTACCGGCTGTAGTTGCCGTCATCAATGGCTGTTCCAAACTCAATAAGGCCCTCGTCCAGCGTGTAGGCCACGGTGGTCACACCTTCTGTCACCATCACCTCGGTCTTTCCATTGCCCCGCTCCAGGCCTATGATGTCACCCTGTAACAGTTCACGCCCCACCCCAATTCCAGGTTAGTGCTTCCACTGAGTCAGCTGCAGAATGGACTTAGCCTCGCCCACCTGAAGGGCTCACACTCTCCGAGGGAAGTAGGGTGGCCCGTGCTGACCTAACCTTTCCAGTTTTCTCAAGCAGATAAGTGAATCTTCTCTATGGCAATATCCGTGGGGCAAGGCACACCTGGACGGTATGGGTGCCTGGCGCGTGTTGATAAAGGGTGGCATCTACTTCTTCCAGCAGGACCACAACTGGGGACTCTGAAGGCTGCCCCTGTTGGCGACAACCTGACCCTGAGGTCAGCTCACTTGAAGAAGCACTTCAGGTGTTCCCTACCCAGCTCTCTCAGAAAAAGATCAGACAGAAAGAAAAAGCTCAGCAAGCTCAATCTAGGCAGGAAAAACAGCAGTGAGCGATGGGAAAGGTATGGTTCCTCTGAAGGCAAACACATCCAGGAGAAGCCGCAAGGCCCTCAGCAGGACAGGGAGGCTGCATCTGAGAATCTCGGACCAAACCTGAAGTCTGCTTTTCAGAGAAAAAAATAGAAGCAAGTGGCACAGGCCATTAATGTTCCTGATTCCTGCAGAAGCAAACACAGATCATCGGTGGTGGAAAAGATGTCCATTTTAGGTTCTCAAGATTCCAAAATATTACGTTCGAAATAACATGAGCTTGGGGGCTGGGGATTTAGCTCAGCGGCATAAGCGCCTGCCTTGCAAGCAGGCAGTCGTGAGTTTGATCCCTGGTACCGATAAAAAGGAAAAAAGACAAAAAAAAAAAAAAAATAACATGAGCTCACAATAATAGCAACAACCAAAATTTAAGGAAACAAACCCCTCATGAAAGAGTAAATGGCAACTATAAAAATAGTTTTGGAATTTCAGAATTAAGCTATGGACAATGCATTGGAATTAAAAAATCATTGTGGAACGTAAAATAATTGTGTAGAAAATACTTAAAGACCTAAAAGATGGCACGGAAGGGCTAGGAGTGTAGTTCAGTGGCACAGTGCATGCCTAGTATCTGCAGGGTCCCGGGTTGGATCCCTAGTACTGCCCCGCCCTCATGCATCTATAAATACACACTCAGACAGCTGGGCATGGTGGCATGTGTCTGCAGTCCTAGCTACTTTGGAAGGAAAGGTGGGAGCATGACTTAAGCCCAAAAGTTTGAGGCCAGCCTGGGTAATATAGTTGGAATCTGAGAGACAGAGTCAGAAGCACAAAGAGAGTCATACACAGAGAGACACAGACAGAGCAATTTGTATCTATAGTGTAATAAAACTTCAAAACATCTCAGAGCTGGGCATGCTGTTCTCTAACTCTGGAGGCTAAGGCAGAGTTTGAGGGCAAGCCTGGGCTACATAGTGAAACCGTCTCAAATAGAAAAACAAAACAAGCAAACAAACAAAAATCCTAAGGAAAATAGTTTTTTAAGCTACCAAAAAAAAAAAAAAAAAAAGATCATAGGCTGCTAATAAATTTCTCAGAATAACAGTGAAAGTCAGTTATTGGGATAACATTTACAAAAGGCTGAAAAAATTAAATGTCAATTTAGAATTGGATACTGAGTCCAAGAATCCTTTTAGAACAAAATCTAAACAAAAGTATTTTCAGATAATTAAAAACAGAGCTTATCATCTTACACTAAAGAGACCTTCTTTCTCTTTGTGGTACTACGGATTGAACTCGGGCCTCTTTCATGCTAAGCAAATGCTGTAGCACTGAGCTACCTTTCCCAGCCCTTTTTTGTTTTATTTTTTCAGACAGGGTCTTTCTAAGTAGCTCACGCTGGTCTCAAACTTAAGATCCTGCTGTGTGAGTACTCAAGTAGCTGAGAGTATAAGCATGTGTTTCTGGGCCCAGCTAGAGACTTTCAATAAAGAAATTTCTAAAAGTTATTCCTCACACTGAAGAAAAATAATTCAGAGATGAGACTGGCATTGGAAAAAGAAAAGGTGAAAAAAGAAATAGGTACCATGATGTAAGACTAAATTGTAGCTCTATAAAATAATAATGTCTAACTAGGAGAGTTCAGAAGATCAGCTCTCCAGAGGCTGAGGCAGAAAGACTATGGTTACATAGTGAGTTCAAGACCAGCCTGAACTACACAGCAAGACCCTTCTCAAAAAAACCTAAAAACCAAACACAATGGCAAAGGGAATTCAGTAAAGTTTAAAGTTTAAGGTCTTTGTGTTATTTTCCGGGAAGACAGAGTAAGATGCTGATTTACTTGAAACTTTAAAGTTCCTATTCAGCTTCCCAGGGTAACCTCCACAAAAATAGGATGTGTACTATAACAAAAAAAAAGTGGAAAAGGGTATTTTTAAAAAATCAAATTTTAGACCTCAGTCTAAAATGAGGCAAGAAAGGAGAAAAACAAACAAACAAAAAAGAGGTATAAAAAACATAAAAGAACACACCAGGGCTCAAATTCATTAACTTGAGCCATGTGTGAGGTCCCCTGGCGTCAACATACCCTGATAGAGAACATGGTGACTCTCTCAGGAGCCTCAATGTTGTACCACACACACAGGTTGTTTCGGTTCTGAGCCACCAAGACATCACTTCCAGGAACCCACTGCACGTAGGAGCAGAAGTTGAGGATCATTGTCTTAGAGCAGCTTTCGATATCGTACAGATGCAGCTGAGGGAGGAGGAAGCACACAGGACAGTTAGAGCAGGGTGAGAGTGTCTTCTAATTTGATCATTTCTACAAAGGTAGAATGATCCACTAGCTAGGTACCTGTTCAATTTCAGATCTTACTGACATGAAACCCTTGAAATTCATGCAGAGTTGGCTTATCCGGGCTTTGATCAAATAAGAGATGACCAAACAAATAAGGAACAGAAATTAGGTGAAAATCAGACTGTCAGAATAATTTTCGGCCAGACTTAGCAGTTTGGATTACAAAATTAAACCCATTGGACACATTAGATGATGTGCAAATTTGTCACATGGCTTTCACTGAAATGAATAACCATCAGATTGTCTCTTTGATCCCACAGTTGGACTTTTGGGTGATGGCACACTGAGACGATAATCAGAAGGGGCTGGGAGGAAACTCCTCAGGGCTACCGCTGTGCCTCCAGGGAGCATGGCTGAAGCAGAGCAGCAGGTCTGGGCCAAGGTCAGCTCGGTATAGCAAGAGGAAGGCAAGGCAAAGAGGTTTCTCGAGGGCATACTCTTGTAAGAAGTAAAAGAGAAATCAACTCTGAGAATCCCCTCTTGCCTCTGTACCATCATAAACAATCAAGGATAATTAAGACAGTTTTGTCATACTCCATACAGAGACTATTGATTCTTTTGTACTGTCCGCTATGCTAATGCGAATGGCCTGTAGAAGTGGTGGCGAACCTATGGCACGTGTACCACAGCAGGTTGTTTGTATCATGGGAAGTTCTAAAGTTTTTCATCACTGATCTACATAATGAAGAAATTATACCCTGTGGAGCTCCCTACCAGCTTGTGTCATATCCTCTGTGGACTGGCCAAGGCCTAAAACCCTAGTAATCCTTACACGAAGCTTTCGGTCCCTGAAGAGGAGCTTGTGCCCAGTCTCATTAAGTTCCAGCCAATCCACACGGCTCTCATGGCTGATGGTACCAATGTTGTAGCCGCCAATCAGATCCACTATCAAGAAAAGCAGATAGGGTTAACACAAGAGATTGTACAGTCTTATACAGGGTATCAACTAGTCTGTAAAAGTGATCATAATCATGTGTTGGAACTTAAGAACATTGCATAAGTACAGAGTGTGTCTCTAGGAAAGGCATATGAGCAATATAGCATAATTTTTCTGGGATACTTATGAAAATGGGTCTCAGCCAGGTGTGGTGGTGCATGCCTGTAATCCCAGCACGCTAGAGGTTGACACAGGAGGATAGTTGCAAGTTCCAGACCAGCCTGGGCTACCAAGTGAGCTCAAAGCTAACCTGAACTGCATAGTGAGAGCCTGTCTCAAAAAGACAAAAAAAAGAGAAGTGGGGCCTTATTAGAATTGTAGATGGGTTTAATTTTGGTTCAGATTCAACAGGGAATGTGACTCTGAGACCGTTGCATCAGAACTAGCAAGCAAGTAGCTTTGACTACTAATGAAATCCTCCAGAAGGCAGCGCTGAGCACATCAGACAGGCAGCCGCTGTGGCGCACTGGTGGAGGAGCAGATGAATGAGACAGCCTGGATCACTTCTGTTCCAAGCAGCTATCTGTATATTTGGGTGCTGATGGCAAAAGAACACTGAAAGGTGATGAGTAGGGAGGCCCTGACAAACCAGCACCAGGCTCTGACTAAAGTTAGCCTGGTCAGTGCAGAGATAAACATTTTAGTTCTGTCTGAATCTTACAGAAAATGTAAAAAATGACTTGGGTGTAGTGATGCACACCTGTAATCCCAGCACTCTGGGAGGCTGAGTAAGAGCTAACTCAGCCTGAGGCAATTTGCTGATTTAGCAAGACTGCCTCAAAATAAAAAATAAATACATTTAAAAAGAGCTGGGGATGCAGTTTGGTGCAAAGGCCCTGGGTTCAAGCCTGAGTACCTCAAACAAACCAAAGCAAAACGAAAAAGAAGACAAATGATCACTTTAAAGCAGACCACTCACAGTTGAGGGGGATACTTTCAGGGAGTCTTCTGAACAAACTCATTCACAACTCTTTTTATATTTATTTTTTTGATTTTTTTTGTCTTTTTCTTTTTTATTGGTACCAGGGATTGAACTCATGGCCACACACTTGCAAGGCAGGCACTTGTGCCGCTGAGCTAAATCCCCAACCCCACAACTCTTTTTATTATTGTGGCTGTTTATTTGTTTTTATTTTGAGACAAGTCTTGGCTTATAGTTCAGGCTGGCCTTGAACTCACTGTATAGCCCAGGATGGCCTCAAACTCATGGCAATCCCCAGCCTCAGCCTCCCAAGTGCTGGGATTACAAGCACACATCACCACAACCGAGAATCACAACTCTTCCCTACACACCTTATTAATGAGCAAGGTGATTACTTTTGTTATACAAAAGGACCAAATGACAGCTAATGCCTACAGCTTGGCAAGATAAATTTTAAAAAGGAATTTTCTTTTAATTAAAAATACAAATGAAATACAACTCAGTGACATAAGCGCCTGCCTGGTAAGTGCAAGGTTGTAAGTTTGATCCCCGGTACGGAAAAAAAAGGAAGAAGCAAAAAATAAAAATGATCAAGCTACATTTCAACACCCCAATTATAAGTACAATTATAGAGCGTTAGAGCTATAAGAACTCTACCGCTGTAAACCCTGAAATTATATAGAAAATTATGTGTATTTGTCTTCCTAGGGTAAGGTCTCTGATTTTCACAGTATACGAAGAAGGGTGGGAGACCCATAAAGGTTGACAGAACCCTTGTCATTTGACATATATTGAAAGGGAGGATGTGGGGGCTCACCCCTATTATCCCAGCAATCTAGGAAGCGGAGGCACAAGGACTGCATGTTCAAACTCAGCTTGGATGAGCGTTGTCTCAAAATAAAAAATAAAAAGGGTGGGAATGAAGCTCAGTGTGAAGGCCATGGCTTTAATCCCTAGTACCTCAAAGAAGGGGGAGGGAGAAACTTACAGAGTGAATGGACTTGGTTAAAGTCTCACAGCTCATTATTGCCACTAAAATCCAGGCCTCTCAGTCTACTACCGTTCCCATTATAGCTACCTCCATATCTGAGCTCAGCACTGCTGTGTAATGTAAGATTCACCAAATGTAAAAGTATCTTAAGAATGGGCCCATATATATTTGGAAACTTGATTTATGTCAGAGATGGTATTATAAATTAGTGAGTGAAGAATGGAATTTCAATAAATGGTTAAACACATGGGAAAACAAAATTAAATTCCTACCCTCATTATACATAAAAATAAATTCCAGATGGGGACCAAAGTTTTAAAATATTAAAATAAGGAGGGAATAGGGAAGGATTTCTTTTTTTTGTCTTTTTCGGTACCAGAGATCGAACTCACGACTGCCTGCTTGCAAGGCAGGCGCTTATGCCGCTGAGCTAAATCCCCAGCCCCAGGAAAGGATTTCTTAAGACCTCAGAAAATCATGAACTATATTTTTTTAAAGTTATAACATGAAACTACATAGAAGTGTCTGAATGCTAGAAGATGCCTAAAGGAGGAGACAGAGACAGAGACAGAGAAAGAGACAGAGGCTGAGGCAAAATATTTGCAAGGTACGACTATCAAAAGCTATATATGCAAAGAACCACAGATCAAGAGACAATCTGACTTTAAAAATGGGTCAGGACTAAGGAAATGAAAATTCACAGAAGAAGAAATCCAAGTGATGAATCAATAAATAAGACTAAGACAATGAAATATCATTACATATCCATTGGTGAGCCAAATTATGAGGTCAGGCAATTTTGGCGCTGGAGAGAGTGCTGAGCAATGGGAACCTAACTGCTGGGGTCAGGAGTGACCTGGCAGAAATCTTCAGAGAGCAATTTGGAAATATTACTCAGGGTGAAAATACATCTTTTCTATGATTCAGTGTTTCCACTCTAGGCATTGACTTTAGAGAAATGAATCACTGTAATAACAAAAAATAAACAACTTAAATGCCCATCAGTAAGAGTAAAAAAAGAGATAAAAGTTCCAATTAAATATAGCAAATGGGAGGCTTCGATGGATCTGGGTATAAGTAAACAAGTAATAATAACATTATTGTTAGTAGCTGGCATTTATCAGATAGCTAGCGTTTGTCTTGTGCTCCGGGTGAATGATTTGGAGATGACATTAGGCACTGTATGTGTCATTGTTGCATCTGATTGATGTGTTTGGGAATTTTTTTTTCTTTCTTTTTTTTTTCTCCTCGAAATAAAAGTGTTTGTTTTACATCAGGCATTGGTCTAGGTGCTTTTCATATGACATAGGGTTTTTGTTCCTATTATGTGGATGAAAAAATGGAGGAACAGAAGGGTTAAATAACTGGTAAAATCAAACAGGTTACAAGCAGAAGAGGAGGAGTGTTGGGAGCCGCAGCCCCGAGCCCGGTCGCCTTACTTGGCGGACGTGAGGCCTGTAGTAAAGAGTAAAGCCTGAGGTAGATTACCCCTCCCATCGAGCACGTTAGTTTCCTGCTTACCGCGTAAGCAACCCGCTCAACAATATAGTCTGCCTGGCAACTGATGATGTTAGCCAATCAGCTTGCCTTGCTTACTTTAACATGATTGGACACTGTATCCGTATATATACTGGTGCCACCCCTGGGGGGGAAGAAGAAGCCCGGAAGTAGAAGCCCAGAAGGAGCCGCGGGGAGCGGACCAAAGGAGGCTTTGGCTGGGAGCGATCCCAGGGCAGGCTGTACGGAGAAGGAAAATAAAAGAAAAGGTTTTCCACTGCCAGACTTTGTCGTGTGTCCTTTCTGCCGGCCAGGAGCGACATCGACATTTGGAGGCCCGCACGGGGACTGATCACCCCCGAGACGTGACAGCGGACAACGCTCCAGTACAGAGCTGCGAGACAGGTGAGTTGGGGATAAGCCTGGGCTCTGGGTGGCGCGCACCTACAGGGCTTTTAGACTCCCCTCAGGCTCACGCGTAAGTGGCGGATTCCTTGGGCCTCACGCGGTGAGTAACATATTAAAAGATGGGAAACATGCTAGGTAGCAACACTAAGAGCGAGGGTGGTTGTGGAGAAAGCTCTCAAGAGCTTACAAAAGTACGCAGGGTATTTGAGCAGGCCCAGTCAGGGAGCTCCCGAGAGGGGCCCATCAAGGGGAACAAAGATGCTAAGGAGAAGGACGGGGCTCTAGCCTCGGAGTCGTCTGACTCCAAGGACGAGGGAAAGTTGAATGGCAAGGAGGCCAAAGAGACCAGCTGTCAGGAGCCTAAGTCGCTCGATAAGGAGTCGCAGGGTTCTTTCCCAGCGTTGCGCCGTGAATTGCGCTCTGCTCAACTTGGTCTGCGGAGGAGTAGAGAGCTCCTGAGCGCTCCCCGGCGCGAGAGGGAGGCGAAGCCTTCCGCCCCACCTTGGGGGCTGTTCCCGGAGGCGATCCCTCGCCGCGGGGCGGCCGCCCGGGAGCTCCCTTCCCCTTCGCCAGAACAGGAAGTGATGCACGGGCCCCCATTTTCCGCCCAATCATGGCCGCCGTCTTATGCTCCGCCGCCGGCGGGTCGGTATTTTTACAGGCGGCTTTGGCAGGGGGGACGTTTGTCTCATGAGGTACATCCACCACCTGGGATAGATAGTGGCCCCTACGGGATATTTCCTGTACAAGTAGCTATGGGCCAGGGACGTAATGCATGGGAGCCTTTTGAGATAAAGCAGATTAGAGAACTTAAAAATGCAGTTACAACCTTTGGGCCGACTGCGCCTTACACCATTGCCATGCTGGAGAACCTGTCTTCTGGGCCCCTCACCCCCGCGGACTGGATTCAGCTGGCAAAGGCGTGTCTGCCCTCGGGTAGTTACCTGGATTGGCGAGCCTGGTACGCAGAGTTCTCTGCAGAGCAGGCTGAGAGAAACGCCAGTCGGGGAAACCGGGGGTGGAACAAGGAAATGCTTATGGGAGAAGGTCGGCACGCTGATGATCAGACTCAGTTCCCCGGCGCTGTCTATGAACAAATCAATGCCATAGGGCTCCGCGCCTGGAAGCAG